TCCAGCATTATCAATATGACGGTTCCGTTAAGACGTGTGTTTATATGTGCACATAGTCCATTGAGATTTCACAGCAGAAAACATTCTGCATGGGCCTCCATTAAGAATTGATGCTCAGAGCTATATTCAAAGTCATTTTGTACTTCATTATAAAGTATCTGTTTTTCTTTGCCTTTAATAAAGTCTCGCATGCACCCTGAGGATGCTTGAAAAATAAAAGTTAAAATAATATGTCACTCTAAAACAACAAATGAATCAATTTCCTCTCTTCTTGGCTCTCCATGTTGCTAACAATTTTCATTAATTACAGGAATACAGGCAGGTAATAATAGTGGCACAAACTATAAAGAAAAGGATAAAATGTGATAAAATGATTTCTAATAAATATTATTACATATTTAGCATATGTATGATATACATAACAATTATGGTTTATGATAAATAGTTTTTAATACAAAAAACATTCTTGTCACAGAAAAGGTGTATTCAAGCCACTGTTTGTATCAGTTTCATTTTTAGATATATTTTAATAAATTAATAGATAGAACAGTAATGTGCCTGTCATTCATTAAATGGCTCAAAATAGGAACCAACAGGAACAACAGAGGTGTAGTTATCTGTCCCCCACCCCAAAAAAAAATCTGAATTACTAAGTGGTAGCTGAGCTGAGCACTCCTCAGGCCAGGGGTATCTTCAGTTTCTCTCTGGGGAGGTAATTTAGAGGTAAAAGTTAAGCTTGTGCTCAGGCACGTGCACAGGTAGGGCTCAACCTGTGCAGAGCACATGCCCTTTTTGTCCTTACACTCCGAAGTGCCCTTTTTTTTTTGTTTTGTTTTTTTGTTCTTCTTCAATAAATCAATGCTATCACCCTTTACGTCTGTCTGTCTGTTTTACAAATATATTTAGCGAATGAAAGGTATTAAAAAGAGTTTGTGACTAAATCTTGTTGGATCCGCTCAAACTGTCAGTCAAACCTCATAACTCCACCCCCTGTCTTGACTGACTGAGTGCAGTGAACTGAAGTAAATAAATATCTTCTTGTTTGTATAAGTACAGCGTTGTCTTTACGCAAGAAACACTAGTATGTCTACTGTATAAAGGCTCATGTTTTATGCATTTGAGGTCTGAGACCGGACCTGCGGAGAGAGGGCATTTGCCATCTAAATTAGTCATAGCCAATAGCCTACACTTAAATAGCATTTGCATACACTAGCATTTCATCTTTTATAAAATGATGCCAAACGTATTTTACAACAGGAAAAACTGAGCGCCCATATAGCTACAACAAACTTTGTAACCTGTTGATCAAAACATAATGTGATGCTGCCGTTTTAATGATGGACAAATTGCACATTTTGCACACACATTCGCCGGTCAAAAACCCGGCCATAACTGCATTTGAGTTTGACACAAAGCGACTGAGTGTTCCTCGTCAGCTAGGTAAAATATATTTCTAAGAAAATTCTTCTTTGATTTATGATGGCTATCTGCTGATACACTTATTAACATTTAATCATATTATATATGGTCACACTCACAGCATGGTTAATGTTTACGATGTTAATATGCATGTATTTGCTAGCTAGCTAATTTTTGAATGTAGTATTCTATACTCTCCGCTTATCATTAAGATGTGACCAGTAAAAAAAGGGGGAGGGGGGGTGCCCTTTTTCAGTTTCAGCACATGCCCCTCAAAAGGTCTGTGCACGGCCCTGCTTGTGCTGTAGGACTAGACAAGCGCACAGATGATTGACTGACATGGTAACAGCGCTTCCTGCTAGAATACAGCCAGTGGAAAGTAACAGTTAACGCATAAGAAAATGCAACTAAAAATGCATCTGAAATCTTCATATCTGATAGTAAACCCTGAAGCCCTGACCTCCCTCCTTTCCCAGATGTGTGAATGCACACGCAAAGGCACTGCATGTAAACTGTCAAAGTAAAAACACCAGCCACGTCCTGAGGGGCGATCCATACTGCACAGGCCATATTAACCCAGCTGTCTGGCTTCTGGTCCTGTGTGTCTCTCAAAGCCCTGGAAACCCTCCTCTAGCCCTATGTGTGCAGCAGCGACAAACACAACCTTCTGTAATCAGATACATTTGCGAGTGGAACAATGAGAAATATGCAGCGCAGGACTTGTAGTTATTAATATAGATCTGAATGGATCACGAAAAGTGAAAAAGCGAAAAGTGAAAAGCCAGATCAAATCAGGGCTCCAGACAAAAAAATTGAGTAAGGAGCCGTTGGCTCCTATAAGAAAAAAACTTAGGCGCCAAATTATTTTTTTAGGTGCCACAGAATAAATGTGTTTTACTTATTTTATTATTATTATTATTTTATTATTATTTTTTTTTTACATTTTAACATTTCAATCATACTGTCATGTGTTTATGTCTAATTTTTCTTGACTTTATCAGCATTTTAATCCATCTTGTAGATGACCTGGGAACTAAGGTTCACTTAAATGTCTTCTCCAACTTGAAATATACAGTCACGCATTTTTTATTACACAGAATATGTACCAATATCATGGACCATAAGCATCACTTGGCCACTGAGTGTAGTATGGGCTCCTCCTCAATGCATCCTGTAAATGCTGTCATACACTCTTAAAAATAAAAGTGCTTCACGATGCCATAGAAGAACCTTTTTGTCTAAATGGTTCCATAAAGAACCTTTAACATCTGAAGAACCTTTACATTTCACAAAAGGTTCTTTGTGGCGAAAGAAGGTTCTTCAGATTATAAAAAGTTGAGAAAGAGATGGTTCTTTAAGAACCTTTGACTGAATGGTTCTTTGTGGAACCAAAAATGGTTCTGTGAAGAACCTTTTAAGCACCTTTATTTTTAAGAGTGTATGTCTTTCACACTTTCAGTCTGTTTTTCTTAATTAGTAAAATGCTATTTTATAGGAGGAGTTGAATCATGTAGACAACAGGTTAAGTAAAAATATTAAAATGTGCATAAATATAGCAAAATGCTCCTCTTTATAGTTATTTTTCTAGCTGACTGATGAGCTTATGGCCACCGAATGGTTATTCTGAGGTAAATGTACCTATATTACGTTGCAATGTTTACAAGCTTTACACGTTTTCCGCAATTTGAAACACTGAATGAGCTTTTACAAGAGACATTTCAGTAAGTTGATCACACAGCTGACAGCTTTACCTGTTGTAGTTTGTGCACGAAATAGACGCTGCTTTTCTGCACTTTCACTTCGCACGTCTCCGTCATTTCGATCTCTCTCGCGCTGCACAACTGAGCTGCGTTAATCAAGTGTGTGTCAGCAGCGCTGCACTGCTGCAGAGATGAGGACATTTTGAAACTCTTTTTTTCCACTAAAACGTTGATGCGCATCGTCTCAGTTTAATATGCGAACATAACAAAAGATGTGATCGCAAAACAATCAGGAAAAAAGGCATTACATGCAAATTTTTAACTTATAACATGTAAATACATAGCCCTAGGCGCCAGTGGCGACATCAGCAAAAACTTCACTCGCAATTTAATATTTTTGGTCGCAAATGCGACCGTTTTAGTCGCAGTTTGGAGCCCTGCCAATGCTACAAAATTTCCCAAATAGCTAAAATACCATTTAAAAGTTTGAGGTTGGTAAGATTTTTTATGTTTAAATAAGGCTATTATGCTCACCAAGACATTTATTTGAATAGAAATCTTTAGTACCTTAATAAATGTTTTTACTGTCCAAAAACATTTACTAAAAACTCGTTACCCCAAACGTTTGTGTATTTGGCTAATATATTACACAATAAAATTGCTCTTGGCCTAAGTGATGTCAGAAAAAAAAGTGGACTCATTTTAGATTAATAATTCTAATAATTGATGTTAACAACCCATGTTACATAATGGAACCATTTTGACTGCTAAACCACTGCTAAAAGAGTTATTTGGCTAATGTTAATTGCATGTGTGGCTAAGCAGAAAAGTCCTTTCAGAGGAGAAGCAAGTTATTAGATTTGAATTAGATTATGAAATAACAATGCACTGATGAATAGTTCTCAATAAGACCAGGAAATTAAAAGTAAAAAGGATCAGTACTGATTTCATGTTCATTTTAAAAGCTGAAACCGTAATTCCTTAGTACTAGCTATCAAATGTACAGTTCCTTAGACACCTTTAATTAGATGAAATAACATCAACAATATTTAATTACATCAGTAGCACCTCAGAAGACTCCATTAGGTCAATTTTGTGATTCAGTTATTAGTCTCCAAACACCCAGGCTAATTTATCACACAGCTAATCACACTGTCCAGGCTGACATAAGGCTCAAAACAATATATTTAACAACATCAGCTTGACATACTCTATTATACAGTTCTAATATTCTGATGAAGTAATACTGTAGATTTAGATCTCAACAATAACAATGCTAATCTAGCAGTTCTTTCGAATGTTATTCTGTACATTGCATAGAAAAGTGAATGCAGAATATGTCCATCTGCCAAATCAACAAAAAGGACTCCAAGTTTTTTTCTAATGTGCTTTTGGCATATATTTGAGCTCATGCTTGTCTTTCTATTCCAGTTTGGCATGCCAATATGGTCATAAAACACAAAGGGATAGGGCATTCTCAGAAATGAATGACACATCACCTTCCTAATATCCGACTGACTTCAATTCTTCTTATTGTGTTTAGCCAGAGAAACAAACTAATTTCCCCTCCAACCACAAACAGTCTCTGTTGGCAATAGGGTCAAAAGACTCAATTAACACCCAAAGAAGAGGGAAAAATTGTACAAAGATGTACTGTGACAGCAGAGAAAAGGAAAAACGAACCCTGCAAATGACTGCGGTAAATTGAGCTCTGATGATGTTTTTATTTTCAAGAGATGCTGTTCAGAGAAAGAGAGTAATTGATGGGTTTTGATGAAGGATCCCAAAAAGCTCAGTGAAGCTTTTATGAGTCGACGACCCTTTTAGAATCGCATGGACAAATCTGTAAGCAACTTTAGATCTTATTCCTCACATTCTCACTGGGACGATTTTGCTCGAACTATTTCCCAGTACCATTTAAAGGGTTGCATTCGCACCGACAGTGTGTACTAAGAAGTGACGTAAGCCGGTCGACAACGGAAACAAAGAAGAACAACATTAACAACAGGCGGATGGAGGACGCTGTGATCGGAGCTGTGTTTTTGTTGTGTCTCGCGGGTTTCACAATAATGGACATGGAAAGTCGACGTATACGTAAAGCGATTGAAAGAACGGAAAGGAGGACTAAGAATCTCCAACGACAACTGGCAGTGCTACATTTGCTACAAGTGCCTGCACTTCAGCGTCCGTCCATCTATCGCTGTTCTCCATACTTGCGAAATAAGTTGACACAATGTTTACAGTATGTTTACACGGCGTTTTAAATCATGGCGGGGGAGGGGGTTTTCATATGCGTTTGGGCAATCAATGTCTACTTACGTCACGATTAGTACCAGTTGTGCTGGTTAGACCCTGCTCCGGAGTAGGAGCTAATTTGGTTCTCGAAAAAGGCAGTCCGGTACTAAAATCGCTCCCAGTTCCGGCGGTGCGAAAACGCCAAAAAGTGGGTAGTTCCACAATTAGTTCTGGTACAATGAAAAGGTTCCCGCGGTGCGAAAGGCCCTATTATCACATGGACAAACACACTCTCTGTTCACACTTTACAGATGCATTAATTGTGCTGTCTTTTTTTCTCCTTCTCAGCCACTTATAGACTTTCATAATTAACAGTAACGAGTATCGTGAGATATTTCATGATCAGGCAGTGGGGTTTCTACACTCGACAGTATATATATATATGCTGAATATATGAACTGTACTAGAGTTTATACAGAATATAAAGAAACCATATATATATATGTATGTATATACATACATATACACACACACAATAATTTTTTATTTTTTAGAACAGTTATTTATTTATATATAAACTCTACTACTCACATACTGAGCATATATTGGGACAACAGCCTTGGGACACCAAGGTCTCAGGGTTCAAGGTCATGGTGCACACAAGGGCTAGAATTTAGGATAAAACTTCATGTTTTGGTTTATAAATAAAACACCAAACCTCGAGAGGTGTACATGCAGTGATAGCCCAGCTGTTCTGCTCTGCTGTGTCCATCCCGGGAACTTTTTTTCTAAGCTCATTTGCTCCACGCTTCTCTTGACGGTCTGCATTTATATGCGCAAGCACCCTCGGAACTGCTGCACCTGCCTTTCTAATTGGCGAACAGCTTTCCTTGGGGTACATCTAGTCTTAAGAGCTGGCAGGAGAGTGAGTGGCTGAAGCGAGAAGACGCCACTGTGACTACCTTTTATCCACACCCTAAAGATTCTGCTCGGAAAAGCATTTTAGTGTCAATGTGCCCGTAAAAGGGCTGGAAAGGCTCCAAGACACACACAAAAAAATCTTTTGGACCATTGAAAGCTGCTGGGAAATCCAGATTAAGATTGTTGCTTTGTTTTGGATCATGGTAGCTGGTTTCTAGCTATAGTCCAAGCTGGAAGGCCGCCTCGAACTGGTTACAAATCAGCTACCACCTAGTCCTACTAACTTAAGCTGGTTTTGGAATAAGACGGATAGACGACAACTTTATGACCAGCTTGGACAATCATAGATAAACTAATGTCTGTCTTAGATGAGCTAATGAACATTATTACTGACCATCTTAGACCACCTTACACTAGTAAATAACCATTTATTGACTGAGACCAAGCTAAAGACTATTTTAGACTAGTTAATGACCAGCTTAGACCAGCTAATGTCCATCTAGATCAGCTAATGACCAACTTAGACTAGCTAATAACCAACAAAGATCATCTACTGACCATCTTTGACTACCTTACACTAGTTAATAACCATCTTGGACCCTCTTAGACTAGCTAATAACCATGTAAGATAATCTATTGACCATTTTATACCTCCTTATACTAGTTAATTACCATCTGAGACCAGCTTAGACTGTCTAATGACCATCTTAGTCCATTTACCATCCAGCTTCCAACCAATATCACCTTTGATCAGTTATTAACATCTTACACTAGCTAATAACCATCTTAAACCATCTATTGACCATTTTAGACTCCCTTACACTAGATAATAACATCTAAGACCAGCATAGATAGACTAATGACCATCTTAGACCAGCTAATAGTCATCTTATACCAGTAACCATCTAGCTACCAGCTAATGTCCATCTTAGGCCCTCTTAGACTAGCTAATAACAATCTAAGAGCATTTTAGACCAACATACACTAGTTAACCATCTGTGACCAGCTTGGACCTGTTAATGACCAACTTAGACCAGCTAATGACCATCTTAGACTTGTCACCGTCAAATAATCATCTTAGAACAGGTTGAAATGATCGGTAGCTACCATCTGTCTAATTGTACTTTGAACTGGTTGAGTATGAATGTGTCTAGATAAATGTTACGCAAACCTCTCGTTCAGTTTCATCAAGGAAACATACAGTGTTGCTCAAGCGTTAATCATCCTGTCATGCCTGAAGTGAGTAACAGCAAAAGCTTTTCCTCTCTCCCTGCATTTGGAGCTTGTTGAAGCCAGTCATTGGACATTACACAAGCAGGCGGCACAGGTCTGGCAGGCGGCCAGTGAGCAGACATCTGATCAATCATGCTGTCTCATTACCCAGCATCCTCTGCTCTGGTGCAGCCTGTCGAGAGCAAGAGCAGCCAGTTTGCAAGGAAAATGGGACCAGGAATCCGCCTCCAGGTCACCTTGAATGAAATGGACATTATAAAAGCACACCTCACCATTTCTCAATGTATCTGCTGCAAGGCTTATGATTGGCTAGTATGATTTTCTGTCTCATCTGTGGAAGCTGGCATGTCTAATTTACATGGAAAGTGACTTATGAGGCTCGTGTTGCCCAGAAAACACAGATGGGGTCCTGTGCACACATTTACCACTGGGTAATCACAATGACTGTTGGAACTACTGGGCCAGAGGTAGATGACCACTAATCCACCTCTGATCTCGGGCCTACAATCTGTCACAACATGTATAGGGAATGCCAACATATTTCAACATAGTATACTGGTGCATTGGGCAATCAATCAATCAACCAACCAATCACCAACCGACCGATGGACCGATCGATCGATCAATCAATCAATCAATCAATCAATCAATCAATCAATCAATCAATCAATCAATCAATCAATCAATCAATCAATCAATCAATCAATCAATCAATCAATCAATCAATCAATCAATCAAATAAAAGACAAGAAACCTAAACCCAAAACCAACATTACATCCTGTCAGGAGAAGAGAGAGTTTAGATTAGAGTCTTAAAAGTACAATGGCAAAAATGACTCACATAATTGCACGTCACAAAGAGGTGCAAAAGTGGTCATGTGAAACTAAATTATTCTCACACAAAGCCCCTTGAATATTATAAGTGGGCCTCTGGAAAAAAAAAAAATACGATACGAACTCTTTAAGATAATTATGCCTGAAATTAGACAAATAAATAAGTAGAGCATTTATAAACATTATCTTTTGATTGAGTGTGATAGTGCCATTAATCAAACATTCAAGCAAAAAAATGCAGCATCTCAAAATATGTCATGGATATGTCAATGTCAGAACAGTTGTAACATTTGGCAGACTTAACCCTTCTTTGAAGGAATCATTTTCTCATTTTATGGCTATTAAAATGCATAATATTGGTTTTCACGAAACATTGATGTCATGGCCTTATTTTCAATCAACATCTACTACACAATGATAAAGTATGCATATTTATAATGAAAATCTGAAATAACATTTTTTTTTCTGAGTCAATTATTTAATAAAAAAAATATTATTATTATTTTAATAGTACACTGGACCAGTAATTAGCCATTACCGCATAATAGCCCAGCAAGTCGAGATAATGTGCCCAGTGCTCAAAATATATGACTAAGCAAAAGCTTAAAAGACCAAAAAGAAAAATGTCAAAGTGCCAATCTATCCTGCACAGTCAGTTATTTTTATGTTAAACAGACTGGGGTAAGCTGTGAAAAAAAACCCCCCAAAAAAAACTCTTTTAAACCTTTTTCTTCTGACCATGTCTAAATATATTCGTATGTCTTTGCCATGAACCGTTATTATATCTTTAGTGCCTCTCTTAATGTTGTCTCTGATGTCTCTGGCGCTTCATAAACAACAGCCATTTTCATGGTCTTTTAGGTCAGTTGTTCTGATATCTGATGGGAATTTTCCTAGAATAATTGCTATTAAAGTTGTTTGTCAGATGTTAATAGGCCAAACAAAACATAGGGCATAATATGCTTTTCCATTTCTATCTTTAGAAGCTACACACACACACACACACACACAAAGGGAAACTCAGATAAACCTGGAACAATTTGTAATTGCTTGTTGCTTACACTCTTAAAAATAAAGAATCCAAAAGGGAGTTTCTGCAGAAATAATAAAAATTTTAATTTTTTTCAGAACACTGACCTCTGCATTCGTATTCCAAGTCAATGGTAGAAGCAGAAAAAGGTGGCACAATACGAACTGGACTGTTCCAGAAATATGAGCAGACCTGTTCTGACCATTACTATAAAAATACATGTTAGGTCTGGTTAAAGAAATCTCAAAAGTGTAAGGAGGTGTAAGGAAGGTAAGATATCCTTACAAGGAGATCCTTGGCCTGTCGATCAAACCGTCCTTGCGCACATGTGCTATGAGTGAACAGGAATCTAAATAAATGTATGAATTCAGTATGTTGGGGAGTGGAAACAATATGTGTGTGTGTGGGGGGGGATTCCTGCCAGCCCTAGTGTCCATCTCTCCCTATGGGTGTTTGCTACTGACCTCTTCCTGATCCACTGCATGCTACTGTAGCTGGTCCATTAAATCAGTGGCTGCTCCAACTCCATGTGGCTTGTTAAAAGCTGAACATTCTCTATAGGGAGACAAAGTTGGAGCTGAATGCACACTGTACCCGTTCTCCATCAGCACCTTGAGATCCAGTCCATGTCGATATCTCAGTTATTAATAAACCCATTAATGGTGCATATCCTGTGTCTTTTCAGCACACATCAACAATGAAGTGCAGCTCT